CCCATAAGAAATTGTAATAACTTCTGCCTATCCATACTATCAGAATAATCCTTCGATTTAACACATTCGCAAGATGGAGGAGGAACTATTGAATCGAATTCATCCCAAAGGTCTTTCAGCTTTGAATAATAAACTGAAACAGGGGAAATACCTTGAGTATGTGTAACTATGGCTTTGTGAAGATGAAAAATTCTGGACATATTGACTTTATCAAATCGTTCCTGCAGATCTAACCAAACTTGAGCTGCATTTGATCGAAAAAGAATTCCACTGACCAAATCCTTGCTAACATTGCTCATAATCCATGACAGGACCATTGCATTACATCTGTCCCACTGTTTCTTCTCAATTTCAGTCGTGAAACCATCTTTTTGTATGCTGCCATCTATGAATCCTAACTTGTTCTTCGTGAGCAAATTCAATTGCATCGCCCGACTCCATAACGTATAATTCTCCATTCCAGTAAGTTGTGTCCCAATTTGCACTGCCCTGGTACATCGGAAGATCTCAGAAACAGAGGATGATCATGATCTATCTTCTTCGCCATTGATCATCAACTGTAAGCTACAGAATTGAACAGAAATTAACAGATCTCAATCCCTAAGCTCTGATACCATGATGGAAACTGAATCTGATTGCACAATTGAATTATGGAGGAAGAAGCAATCACAATTTTATTATTGATCAGTTCAACCACAATGTATTACTCTCTACATATATATACACATGTACTAAGTGACTTATTTACAAGAAAACCATCTTCTAGAATCTTCTCAATATATCCTAACTAACTATCAACTAACTATCAACTAACTATTAACTAACTATCAACTAATCTAGTTAATTATTTACAATCTCTAATATATCCTTGATTATTTGTTAAGCTTAATTTTAGAAACACTAAATTACTATGAATAAAATTTATATACAAAACCTGTGTGAAGAACAAGATATGTCAATGTTAAAAATAAAAAATTTCAAGCAAATATCAAAGAAAATAAGATTAAATACATTGCTTGCAAAATTGTGCTTCACGTTGTAAGAATCCTTTTTGCAAGCTTGTGTTTTCAATGAATATACTATTTAAGTAACTAAGTTCAATCTGTATTGATGCATAATTTAAGCGTAGAGGAGCAAATCCAGAAGCAAAAGGAAGACATAATAATATACACCTCTTCATCATCTTCTTGACACAAAAATAATGTTGACTAAAAGAAATTGTCATATGAGTTACAAGACAGAATCACAATCAGTTAACAGTAATTTTGTCTTCTCTTCCTGTCCTGCATGTATACATATTTCTCTTCATTTATCTTTTCTAAAGTTGGTAAACAATATGAGGCAGGAAAACGTTTTTCATGGCTTATGAAAAACTTAACTTTTTAGATAGCCAGTAGTCATCGGGAAACAAATGAAAGTCCGGAATTTTGAAGAACCTAAAGAACAAAAATAATCCATATAGAAAAACAACATATGCTCGAGGGATACCTACAATGAATTTTCATATTTAAAATTAATGTTTACTAAGAGGAAGAGAGTGAAATCAATACGTACAATAAGCGGACAAGCGTAATTGAGAACACTCCATTAGGCTCTAGCATTCTACCCTGCCAACAGAAAGTGAGTTTTGACACTAGTTTATTTGAGAGCAGTGGCAGCCGAACAGTAGAAAGCCTCCGTTAAAATTAATAGACAAAAAATAATATAACAAATTTGGCATATATTAAAGAATTAAAAGCTCAGAATATATACAATTAAATGAAACCAAAAACAAAATGATAAAAGTAAAACATTGCAGTACAAAAATTAGCAGTATACAATTTAGTAGTATCGATGCTATTAAATATGTATAAAGTGTAAGCGAACTCCCAAAACATCAGAAATGAACAAATAAAGAAAATCTCAAACTCAAAGTAAAAGTAAGCGAAGACTAAAATATCACAGTAAGACTGCTAACAATTGTTAGTAAAACCTATTTTCATCACCCGTTCAACAATAACATACTTGGTGTAGTGGAAGGTTAGGATGTACTTAGACCTTACCCAATCTTTGTGGACAAGACTCATTTTCTGTCATACATCCGACTCAAATAAAAAACCAATCTCGACATAACAAGCGTTTCCACACATCATTGGGATCAGAAGAGAATAGCTACGAGCCAAATAAAAGAGAAAGAACAAAACAAACACTAACATCAACTTTCAAAAAGAGAGTCCCAGCAATGCCATGGCTGCAAGACCATCAGAAAATCGTTAAGGATCAGATAACCTCAAATGTGCAATTAATCAGCTCAGAAGGGAATTAAAATTTGATCAAAATCATTGTCTCACCTCTTTCAAGCAGACTGATTATACTCACCACCATCGCTTCTACCACTCCCACCGTCAACATACAATGCTACGCAAAAGCATTAAAAAAGAAAAGAAAAATATTTGAAGGGCACAGAAACACTGTCACGATAACAACCATCCAAGCGAGCTGTGAATAATATACTCAAACAACAAAAAACATACCCAGTGTATCCCATAAGTGGGGTCCAATAATCTCAATGCAATGACTGTAACTGTTCCAAAAGGGCATGTTTGGATGACGATTTTGTTTTTTCCTATCTTGTTTTCTTCAAAGAGCTGTTAATTTTTTGGATATCAATGGAAATCACTGGCATAGCAGAGGGGCAACCCACCCTTTAAGGAAAACCCCAATCCCTATGACGCCTCATTCTTCATCCTTTCAAGGCCATGATCAGCTGACAGTGAACAAATATGGTGATACATTGGGACTATAAGATGATTTATAGCTTGTAGCAGATAATTACAGGTCCAACATAAAACAAAATCACGGAAAAGTTCCTTTTTTTCCCTCTTTCCAAGCAAATGGGGCTCAAATGTATTTTATGATAAGGCAAAAGAGAAGCCACCCAAGCCATGGCTTTGACTGGGAGAGAAGTCTCAATCACAGGCCATACCGTGTTGCCACGCCAAAATACGGGATGGGTTATCTCCATGCCCAAATTGGTTAAGCCAGATATAGAAACATCATCATCACTGCCTCTTTATGTACCTTCCATCAACACAGAAAACACATGTGTACACACACACAAGAAAAGATTTGTATATATATTAAATCCATTTTGCATTTTGTATTTTCTCCTTCTTCTTTTCTCATGAAACAAAGGCCTGTTGGTTGTTTGATAATGGAGGAAAATCAATGGCAAAACGGATAGGAGCAACCACCCTTTAAAGAAAGTCCCACTACTCTCCGTTTTGCCTCATTTCATTCTTTCTGGGTAACCTTCGTATTTTGGGTAAACTACTTGGAGTTTTTCACCTTCAGTAATGAACTGTCTATTGGAGACCATGAAACTGGTCATTAGGCTCAGATTTGTGTTTTTGTACCACAGCAAAAGAGAAGGTGACCATAACATGGCTGCAGACAACAGTTAGCTACATAAAGACATATTGGGTTGCGCAGCCAATATACAGGTCGGATATTTCTCAATGTCGAGACTGAACGTAGCCCATAACTCTTCACAACCTCTTCACAAGATAAGCAGCAGCAGCACAATGAATTTTATTTTATTTTTGTTTATAACAAAGGGTTGTTGGTCTTTTTGGTTATCAATGGAGAATCATGGGCATAGCAGAGAGGGGCAACCACCCTTTACAGGAAATCCCAACCTCTCTGATTCCTCATTCTTCTTACCTTCTATGCTATGTTCAGCTAATACGGAACACATGGTGATACATTATTGTATCAGAAAATGGCAGGTTCAACATATACAAAAATTATATCACAGAAAAATATTCTTTTTCTCTTCTCTCTTTCCAAGCAAAACGTGTCCAGATGTGTATTATGATAAGGCAAAAGAGAAGCCAGCCAGAATATGGCTGCAAACGCCAGTTACATGGGAGAGAAGTCTCAATCACATGCCATACTGGGTTGCCACACCAAGATTGGAACGGGTCATCTCCATGCCCAAATTGGTTAGCCCAAATATAATTATCATAACTGGCTCTTCATGGGTCATCTCCACAACAGTTAAATCCGTTTCCACTTTGTGGCAGAACGAGGGGCAACCACCCTTCAACACTCCGTTCGGATCGTTGTTATATATTTATTCATAATGTATGACATTGTATAGGATTGTGTTGTATCATATTGTTTTTGAACACAATGTTTTAGATTGGATCATTTTTTGTCGTTGCATAATGTCACACACCAGTAAATTAAAGTACAAGCCTAAGAAAATAATAGGATACAGGTTACAAGTTTACAACTAGTATAAATAGGTATGGTAAAGAACAAAAT